GCTGACTGGGAACAGTTATGGACCACAGGTATGAAATTTACGGCATGTAATGCCTTAAGAGAGAATATTATGAAAATGATATATCGGTGGTACATAACCCCAGTCAAGCTTGCAAAAATCTATCACTTGCCCAATAATAAATGTTGGAAATGTAAGGAAATTGAAGGTACATTCTTTCACCTTTGGTGGACGTGCCCAAAGATTAAGGCTTTCTGGGAGATGATCTATAATGAAATGAAAAAGGTATATAAATATACCTTCTTGAAGAAACCAGAGGCCTTTCTCCTGGGCATGGTCGGCCAATTGGTGCCAAAGAAGGACAGAACTTTCTTTATGCATGCCACAACAGCAGCAAGAATACTTATTGCAAACTATTGGAAGACACAAGATTTACCCACTCTGGAAGAATGGCAGATGAAGGTGATGGACTATATGGAACTGGCGGAAATGACTGGCAGAATCCGAGACCAGGGAGAAGAGTCGGTGGAAGAAGATTGGAAGAAATTTAAAGACTATTTACAGAAATACTGCAAAATTAATGAATGTTAGAATGATGTTAGAATGAAGTTAAGTGGTTTTAGCAGCAATGTTATAAAGGTGTATGTAAAAATGAATTGTTAACAGGTGAAAATCCAAAGTTATAATATATTAAGTTTAAGGATTTAGACAAAAACAAAGAGGGAAAGGAATTGCTGAATTAACTAATAGAACTGGAATACAAAAAAGGGAGGTGTGAGGAGGTCAGGGAAGCAAGGAAATGAAATGTAAGGCATGGAAAGATTGATGTGTTTTTTAAGTGTTTTTTATCTTTTTTCTGTATTTTGCATTTTTTTCTTTTCTATTTCTTTTTCTTTTTTTCTCTTTTTATTTATGTCATCTTTTCTTTGAAACTTTAATAAATATCATTTTAAAAAATAATAATAGAAAAGTGCTTTGTTTATTCAGCCCACCATGTGAATGCTATATGTAATGGAGGTCTGAACCACGGGCTCCTGGCTTAGACCGTGTGCTTATATAAACTTTACCATATTTTTAACCCAAGGTTTCTTCCAGTTTTTCTTGCTGCTTTATGGGAAAATGCACGAATCAAACTTTAGAAGTTTGTAAGTAAGAACCATTTTAACTTACTAACCAATGTGCTCTGTCAAATGCTAAAGGAAAGCACTGGAACTGACTTAGAATGGGATATTTAAAATGGTCAAATTGCCTATATTCCCATGCTTTACTGCTGCATGTTTTGTGACTTCAAAAAACTCTTCCCTGGGCTCTCTCTTACTGGAGAGTATTTAGTCCCACCTTTGGATTTAGGAATCCATTGAATTCTTTTTAATTAACCAAATAATTGACACATTGTGTTTAACAGAACTTGCACACCATTCTCTATTCAGAATTGGCAAAATTAACACAAAAAATTAGAGACCAGAAAGAAACAAAGTTTATTAAAGAATGGGATAAATTCATAACCTATATTGAAGTAGATTTTAAAAATCCAAAGATCACAGTAGGCTTAATATAACCCTTCGACATACAAAAGTTTTAAAGAAAAACTGCGGGGAAAAATGTATTACATAACCCAAAACTGAGATGGAGGGAAGTCAATAATTTACATGTTTGTCTTTGTTTTGTTTCGTTTTTTTCTTCTTCTTATAATTAAGTTATGTTGTTCTTATTATTGTTTTTTTCCGTGAAGAATTTATTTTCTGTACATATGTGTGTATATGTGTGTATGAAAATTAATAAAGAGAAATTAAAAAAAAAAGAACTTGCACACCATTCTCTTGAATCCAAAGCCCCTTGTGATTGCAGTGTTTCCAGATGCTTAGCTTTAGAAACTACAGTGGCCCAAAAGCTCCCTTTTCACGCTGATTGGGTAGGTTTGGGACACTGCTGCAGAAATAGTACTGGCTGTTTTGAACTCACCTGGTGCCACTGTCTCAGACTATGACCTCACTGCATAAAGAACATTCAAAGAAAAGTTGACAAGCAAAAGTTGAAAAGCATAAGCTTTTATTGTCTGCAAATGAGCAGAGTCTTAAAACTTGGAATTGCAGAGATCACTTTCATCACAGCATTTGAGTTTATAATGCATGCCATTTTCTGGGTCATCACTTGTTGCATCACAGGTGACATCAGCCTTCTTCGAACAACCAAGTATTTTTTCAAAAACTTCCTCAGCTGAGAAAAGGGACAGGAAGCAGGAAAAAGGAGGAGAGAAAAGAGTGAATGTTTGCATCACTATTGCCACCACAATGATTAACTGAATTTCACCTAAAAGATCTAAACTGCTCTCCTTTGAGCTGTGCCCCCTACTGAGAGTTCTGCAGAGCTTAAGAAATAAATAGTCTGGTAATACTGATGACTGAAGGAAAGAAGAAACAAAATTTATTACTCTTGGGGAACAAAGCTATTCTGGGTATAGGCACACACTCCTCCCCTGCTCCCTAATCTGCTCTAGCAGAAACCCAGAACAGGTTTAAGCAGTTCATATGGGAAGGAAAGGTGGGGGGGATACTTGTTATATGATCAGACCTTGCTACCCACATGCGTACTGTGGGACATTGCAGTCAAACATAATTGTGCATGAGTGCTAGTTAGTGTATGAAGGGGTTAATACCAGAAAACTGTGTTTTCTAGAATCATTGAGGTCCCACACTGTCTTCTCCAGTGAGGGAAGAAGTCAAGCCTTCTCTTCCTTTCCACATTCTCTTCCACCATTCAATGTGTCTGAGCTTGCTCCCTACAAGCTCAGACTGCGTTTTTGAAACTAAACTTCTATGTTTTCCACCAAAGAGCATTCTACCTGATTTCTGCTTGCCACTGCGTGGAACAAATAATAAATCAGTCTTTTGCATCTGTAAGTAAAGCATTTGAAAACTTCCTTAACAAGGTGTGGTGTTTTAAATGCTAAGAGGGATAGAAATGGGTCCACTGCTTTAGTGGATTAAATGGGATATTAAAGCAGCTTTAACAGCCTATCCCCACGCTGTCCTACAGCACAAAGTGTGACATGATTTTAAACCCTGCTGGGTCTTTCTGTGTGCTAGCCCTGCTCTTTGGATCTAGGGACCCCACCTCTTCTGTTGTTGAAATGCATCACTAGAATCTAATTTTTCAACCCCCCACATTCCTCACTTAGTGCCACATTGAATTCTATTTCCCTTTATTGAATCGCTAAGCCCCCCCCCCCCCAAAAGACACTTAAGGGGAAAGGGAACATGGAGCCCAAAGAAGGTACAACCTTATAGCAGGTGGTTTTTTTTTTTACCTTTATAGACAATTAATGCAATACACTGTCCTTCACCATCAATTTCACAGGTACTCATTTCGCATTTTCCTCCTTCTTCCATGGCTACGCACACTGAACACTGGAGAGCATCTGCTCCAAAAGACAAAACCAAAGTCTCATGTGAATAAACGAGGGTAGCCTTGTAGCCATTTGGTTGGAAATCTTCATATTCTCCACAAGAAAGTAATCCCTTAGGTCAGGGTTTCCCAAACTTGGGCCTCTGTTTGTTTTTTGACTACATTTCCCATCATCCCTGACCACAGATCCTGCTATTTAGGGATGATGCAACTTGTAGTCCAACAACAGCTGGAGACCCCCAAGTTTGGGAAACCCTGCCTTAGGTTAGTACAAGGATTGTTAACTCTTTGGGGACTATGGACATATTTATAAACAAGAAAAATTGACATGGGCAACACATTGCAACCAAGCACACATCACTATCTGGTCTACGGGTGACAAATAGGGCTCTTCTTTCAAGTCTTGCCTCCTCAAGGGGCGGAGAGGGGATATCGTAGGTACCAGGGATGTGCCTGTGGATGCATATCCACTCATGGGTGACACTTTGGCAGCCCCTAGGTTACAAAAACAACATTGATGGAATGTTCACAGACAGTGTACTTCAAAAAAAAGAAATGGAAAACTACCTTTTTTTCAAAATGCCTGATTTCAGATTTTTGAATCTGTAAACTTACTTTCAGACAATGGAAAAGGGGTAATGGGCCCAGGGTCAGCTTCCTTTCCTTCTGTCCCCTTCCCTTTCTTTCTTTCTTTCTTTCTTTCTTTCTTTCTTGTATTGGTATCTTACAATTGCTGCCCCCATAGGCACACAGGGGCAGGCATCCCTTTCTACATTACCATTCCCCAGGAAGGGACAGCACTGTCAATTCCTGAGATTACAATTTTGTTTTGCCACATGGCCTCAGAGCTGCTCTAAGCAGCTGTAAAATACTAAAGAGGGAAAGAGGCATTCCACAGACCACCTCTTCAGAATATTCAATATTGCTGCTTGAAAAGCTGGGTTGATTTTTCCTTACATAATTTGCCCCAAATGGGATTAAAAGGAGTTGGCACAGGATGGAAATAAATTGACCCATCCGTCCCCAGCTCTGAGATGATGGAGCCCATGATTTGACCACAGCTTGAGTTCATTCTGTATTTGCAAAGTATCTGTACCGAGATACCTCTACCCTGGCATTCCAATTTAAATATTAGGGAGAGTGGCATGCATAAATAAATAAATAAATAAATAAATCTCAGCAGGCTGTAGCAGTTGGCAGGAAAGGTGCAAATGTGAAGCAGGACCACTCCATCCACTCGACTGCAACTACTGTTGTCTTTAGCTCTCCCTCTCCTTCAGTTGTCAGCTAAAAACAATCCTTCCATCAAGCGGCAGCAGATAACAGAATCAGGGTCATTTTATTGGCTTAGCTGAGATTCTATGGAGGAGGGAGAAGTTTGGTTTGGTTCATATTTCGATGTGAATCTACCTAAGTTACATTTTCCTTCTCCCTTGGCCCAGTCTACCTGCCTTGAACCTATCTCCCTTAGTTGATAATGCTTTCCCCAACTCTCGGAAGAAGAAGAAAACATACCTCCAGGTATAAGGCACAGGAAAGCACAGATTACCAGAAAAAGTTGGCCTGGGGTGGACATCTTGGAAGCAGAAGACACTGTGTATGTCTCAGCAGAAGCCTAAGTAATAGAGGAACAAATGCAGACCTTCACTGGATTCCACCAGAGTAGAAAAGCTTCTTCCTCTGTTCCTGTTAGAACCACTCTACAGATCATAGTGTACTCAGAAAGGACTTATAAAGATAAACTGATGGGCCGTGACATTATGAACTGGCCACTCATTACAGGACAATAATGATGTGTGGGAGGAACAGAGTCTTTTAGCTCAGGGCTACAATGGGCTCTGCAAGTCTCCACTGGCACATTTGCCCCTGCAGGACAAGACGTGTAGTAATACATACATACATACATACATACATACATACATATTTTTATTTGCATTCTGCCTTTCTACAGTTCAAACCATACTCAAGGCAGCTTACATAATGAAAAATACATAACTACAACATCTCAAAAGTAGCCATCAATAGTAAATGCAAAACCAAACTGAACAATTTCAATAAATCGCAGCAGAAGATACAAAAAACCAAACAAACCCAGCAGCCACAAGAGCAACCACTCCCTCCCCAACAACACCTCAAGCACCATCCTCCCAGATCAGGTGTAAAAAGGCCAGAGCTTCATGTTGCATGTCTATTTAAAAATATGTCCCACTGAGCAGAATGAGGCTCATTGCTCTGATATTTATATATACAGGTGAAACTCAGAAAATTAGAATATCGTGGAAAAGTTCATTTATTTCAGTAATTCAACTTAAAAGGTGAAACTATATGAGATAGACTCATGACATGCAAAGCGAGATATGTCAAGCCTTTATTTGTTATAATTGTGATGATCATGGCGTACAGCTGATGAAAACCCCAAATTAACAATCTCAGAAAATTGGAATATTAAATGAAATCAGCAATACAAGGATTGCAAATAGAGCAATATTGGACCTCTGAGAAGCATGCAAATGACATGGCTCCCCAAATCAACACAGACTGTGGAAACGTCACACTGGACTTCAAGCATCTGGCATTGTATGCCTCCCCATTCTTCCTCCAGACTCTGGATCCTTGGTTTCCAAATGAGATGCAAAAGCTGCTCTCATCAGAAAAGAGATTTGGAGAGCCACATCATCAGCTGGTTATGGTCCACTGTGCTTCATTAAGTCCAGGGTCAACACAGCCATCTACCAGGAGATTTTGGAGCACTTCATGCTTCCTTGCGCAGATTAGCTTTATGGGGATGCTGACTTCATTTTCCAGCAGGACTTTGGCACCTGCCCACACTGCCAAAAGTACCAAAACCTGGTTCAATGCCCATGGGATTACTGTGCTTGATTGGCCAGCAAACTCGCCTGACCTGAACCCCATAGAGAATCTATGGGGCATTGCAAAGAGAAAGATGAGAGACATGAGACCGAGCAATGCAGAAGAGCTGAAGAACCCATCATGGCTAATAGTGTGGATAGTTTTATCTTCCATCCAAATGACCAATCCTCATTTCAACCCATCCTGGTTAGCTACCATCAATACTTTCTGTGGGAGAAAGTTCCCCCTTTGCGTGCCAATGGGGCAGTGTTGCTATTAATTTTCAAGGGATAAAAGCATCGCCCCTGAAAAACCAGCTTGGAGAAAAACAGCCCCTGCCCACCAATGACCCTTGGGACAACATTGCTGGTGGGTCATGGCGGGAGGTGGCTTTTTGCACACCTGTCAGTCGCCTCAGCGACATCACTCATCATGACTGTTTTTGAGGGCTGAAGATTCCTTCTCCTGTATGCAAATCTATATGTTTCTTCCAGAGTTCTAAATTTCATGAGTAGAGAATGATCCTCAGTGCATAACCTGGGCAAAGTCAGCATTCGCTGCATAGCGATTGGGGAAGGAGGTACACTACTAGACACATTGATCTTCAAAGCTTATTGGGTGAGTCAGGGGTGTACTGTACTTTCTAAGCACATTTTCAAAGATTTGGGACAGGGATGAACAGGAAGTGGTTGGAACAACAGATCTGATGGATGGATCACCTAGTCCCCACATTGAGAGTCGGGGTATCCACACTGAATCAGAAGGGATGAGCTGGCAATTTAGTAGCATTTCCATATTAAATTGCTTTGCTTTTTTGCCATGCTGTGTTATTTGAAAGGAAGTAAAGGTTAAAAAGAAGTAGAAGCACTCTGTTTAATGAACTGATCAATCAATTAATTAAAAATTTCATGTGTGACAAAATAGTACATACTGCTCTCCACTTTCAATTCACAGATTCTTTTCACAGTTCATTTACATTCAGTATGAGACGCCAGGTTGTCATAAGCATTATGCAGTTAGAGAAGAAGGGGGGGGGGAGCTCTGTGCATGTTGCCTTGTGGCTTCAATCCAGGATGGGGGCAGGATACTCCACTTGCTGCTCTTTCCCAGTGAAAATGTTCTTGGATATATTGTTCCCAAGTCCCTGGAAGGGATGACTATATGAAGAGTATCATGCAGACCCCTTTCAACCTTTAGAATATCATATTGATGAACAAGAGCAATAATCTTATGGTTGGTTACATTGATATCAATAAGAATGGTTTTGTAGTCCGCTGCCTTATGAGTTGTTAAACATATAATAGAATGTATTTTTCATGGATTCAAAATTGGAATTTGGCACAGTAGAACATAGTTTAATTTTGGATTTTATAACCAGAGGGGGCCTTCTTAGTGGTGCAGCCTGTTCGATCTCTCTGGGCTCAAGGAATGCAATAATGTTTAATCACTTTCATTGTTGGTCATTTAAATTCTCCCTGCTAGAAGACAGCCGTCTTTGGAAGGTGTTACAATCTCCATGGTTAGAAGATGTTAAGCAAAGGTTGGGCTGCCACCTATTGGAGATGATGTAGCAGTGGATTTCCTGCATTGGCAGGAAGTTGCTGTGGATGATCTTTGAGGTACTTTCCAACTTTATGATTCCATCTGTCAAGCCAGTCTGTTCCGGGACCATTTCAACCTTGTATTACACCCACCTAAGGATACATTAGGGACGTGGGTGACGCTGTGGGTTAAACCACAGAGCCTAGGGCTTGCTGATCAGAAGGTTGGCAGTTCGAATCCCCACAACGGGGTGAGCTCCCATTGCCAGTTCAAAAGCACGTCAAAGTGCAAGTAGATAAATAGGTCCCACTCCGGCGGGGAGGTAAATGGCGTTTCCATGCACTGCTCTGGTTCACCAGAAGTGGCTTAGTCATGCTGGCCACATGACCCGGAAGCTGTATGCCAGCTCCCTCGGCCAATAAAGCGAGATGAGCGCCGCAATCCCAGAGTCGGTCACGACTGGACCTAATGGTCAGGGGTCCCTTTACCTTTACCTTAAGGATACATTGTGAAGGCTATGATGCTAGTCCTGATTCTTTCTGACTGCAGATGGGAAACTGAAGGTCTTAATGCTTCCCTGATTCAACACACCTTCAAACCTGATATATCATTAAGTAGGGTTATCGGTTTGCCTTTGTAGTCCTGATTATTATATAATCCAACCTTCTTTTTATTTTTTAAATCATAGCTTCCATCAGGAATTATTGGATCTCACACCAGACATGAGTGAAGCACCTGGATGGTCATATCTAATTCTATCTGTTGTGCATGGACAGAATTGAAAGTTCCAACCAAGAAATGTGAGGAAAGAAAGTACGAAAAGAGAAAACCCAAAGTGAAACAGCAAAAGCTTTATTTGTGTGTGGACGGCCTAGAGGCTGCTTTAAGCGCTGTCTCATGGGTAATGCTCATTGCAGAAATGTTTATCCCTGCAGCAGATGAGATCATAGCGGTAAGCATTCTCATTATCAACATGGATGAGGCCACATGTCACATCTGTCTTCTTCCGACAACCAAGTATTCTCTCAAAAACCTTCCCCCCTGAAATGAAGAGTGAAGAAGAGGAAGGGGGAGGTGAGGAGATTAAACATTTGCATTTTCTCCAGTAATCAACTTGATTTCACATGAAATGCTCAACCCCATTTGAAATCACTAGTTGCCCCTGAAATCAGTCTAACATATTCCCATTTTATAGATAGGACAATGGAAATAAAATCCACTGCTGATCAAAGATTATAATCCAGATCTCTGGAGCTTAAGGTCAACATAAATTCACTCTGGAATCCAAATTTTGGGCAGAGGTTTTCAACAAAATATATAAAATATTAAATGCCCCTTTCAAGCCTCCCTGCACCCTGCCCCTTTTGAAGATGTGGAAGAATCCTCCTTTGTCTTTTATATTTGTTAGTGATTTATATTTTATTCTTGGCTTCTTCCCTCTCCAAATCAATCTTGAAATATCTCTTTGTCATTCTTCAAAGCATTGTTGATTACTGGAATTGACTGGAATAAAAATAACATTTTTGGTAATACATTCATTTTGATAACTGATATTCTTCCTATCAATGAAATATTCATTCTTCCCCAAATTTCTAAATTCCTTTTTATCTCCTTCCATGTTTTTTCATAGTTGTCTTTAACTATATTTATATTTTTGGCTGTTAGCCAAGGTTCCTTTCTTCCATCAGCATCAGGGTCTCTTATTTAAGAACCTTAATTGCAATCTCAAATTCAAGTCAAGTTAACTTCTTAATTCTACTTCAGGTCAAGTTCAAATTCAAGATTTGAAAAAGTCAAAAGTTCAGATTGGTATTAAAAACACTTGTATAATCCTACTTCCTTCTCAAACATTAGCTGGCTCTAACTCCATCAAAGTAATCCACAAACTTTCCACTTGCATTGTCTCTCATGCTCGCAAGCAGCCACAGACAGGGGTACACTTCCTTTTAATACTCCCCACTGTAACTGAATTATTCAACCTAATTAAATTGGTAGCTCCTCACCTTGAAGTTTGGTTTGAAGATTTCTTTGATAAGTAGCCGCTGTAAGGCTGGAAACAAAAGCTTCACTCTGCAGGGTTGTGTTGTCACCTAACTGACCAGCTTTTTCACCCCCCCCCCCCCCCGTTCTCCATACTTTCCAGCACTGAGACAGAGAAAGGAGCCCACCAAATTACTGTTGCCAGTTGCAGAACCAGGGCTTTCTTGGGAGTTTGTGTCACTCTCATGCTTCCTCTGACCCTCTGCAGAACCAAATCTGACAGTGCTCAGCAGGAGCTATCAGATCCCTGTCCTTCCACCATTGTGTGGCTACTCAGAAGCTGGGATGTACATATTCAATATTCCTTCCAGGGTTCTCCAGCCAATGTTGGGAGCTTCGCAAACTCCTAACACAATACTTCTACAGAATATCCCACTTCCTTGAAACATTAAACCCAATGAAGATGTGGCTTAAAGAGAAAATGAGGTGTTTGGGTGAGGAGCAAAAAATCTAAAGAATATATGAGTTTGGGATAGGTTTCTTACCTCTATAAATTATGAGGGCCACACAAGTTCCTTCTGGGCTAATCTTGCAGTGCTTTAGTCTACAGGGAGCTCCTGGTACAACCGATTTGCAGTGACCACAAAAACGAACATTTGCTCCTAAAAAGACAAGTATTGACTATTACAAGAACACCAAGCCAACATTGCACCAGGGTCAACAATGTATTCTTCACAGCCATTTGGTTTGCAGATCTTCATATGCTCAATGACAAAAAAAACAACCCCTCATGTTACTAGCAACAGAGATTTAATGCATGGGATATGTTGTATGCACAGCCTCTTCAAGATAATGTTGTCTTGTCTTCAGAACATCTAGCACATGATAATGGAACGAGGAATCTAAGTCCAGGAGGCATCTGGGGCGAGTTGAAAGTTGAACAGAGAAAGAAACAAGGAGAAACAATAAGTTAGGGTACAGTGAGTGGGTACGCCACCACCACCACCACCACCACAACAACAACATTTATATGCCACTCTGGACAGCTCTTCCAAAAAGCTTACAAGGGCATACATGGTTTCCCTACTCCCCATTTAATCCCCGCAACCACCCTTGAGATAGGTTAGACTGAGGGCCCAAGGTCAACCAGTGAGCTTCATGGCCAAGTAGGGATTTGAACCCTGATCTCCCAGGTCCAAGTCTGACACTCTAACCACAAAACCCACTAGCTATGGAGAACCGGGGATGCTGAAGGTGCTATCCATCTCTAGCCAGCAATAGTCCTAGGACACTTATGTGCCTCCTCTCTTGTGAATGCCCGAGAAGGGCATTATGTGAAACGCTTCATACCACATTGGTGACATAAAAATATTTCTAACAGCCTTAGAAGAACTTACCTTCAGATGGAAGAGAAAGGATAGCACAGAATGCAAGGAACAGGATCTGATACACTGTGGACATCTTCCTATCTGGAGACTTCCGTGTGCCACAGCACAGCTGAAAGTTATGGAAGAAGGAAGACTAGTCTCTGTTCATTCCAACAGGACGGGCAAGTTGTTCCCATTTATAGCTTGTATGCAGAAGTACCTGGAAGATGATTCTGTCTTTGAAGAAGCAAATGTAGGTGGAGATTTCTGGGCCATGAAATCACACATTGACCCCTCATAGGCAGGACAAGAAAGATTGCAGTGAGATATCTATGTGGATGGGGCAGGGAGATGATCAGGTGTAAAAAAGCCAGAGCTTTGTGGGATACTCAATAATCATCAATATTATTACTTCTTGCACAACAATAAATGAATGGTGGTTTTAATGTTTCTAATTTAATATAATAAATCTGTAGAAATGACTTGATTAAAACCAAAAACAAAGCCACAATTACATTGCTAACTATTGCATGCCTATTTAAAAATATGTCCCACTGAGCAGAATGAGGCTCACCGCTCTGATATTTATATATATTTCCACAACAATTTGTGATTTTAAGGGTGTACAAAAACAATACTGTCAAACCATGGGAGCAGACCGTAACCATGATGGCTAGTAGCCATGGATAGTTTTAGCTTCCATCCAAATGTCCAATCCTCATTTCAACCCATCCTGGTTAGTTACCATCAATACTTTCTGTGGGAGAAAGTTCCCCCTTTGCATGTCAGTGGGGAAGTGCTGCTATTAATTTTTAAGGGATAAAAGCATTGCCCCTGAAAAATCAGCTTGGAGAAACACAGCCCCTGCCCACCAATGACCCTTGGGACAACAGGGCCCTTGCTGGTGGGTCATGGAGGTGAGTGGCTCTTTGCACACCTGTCAGTCGCCTCAGCAACATTACTCATCATGGCTGTTTTTGAGGGCTGCAAGTTCCTTCCCCTGTATGCAAGTCTACTGTATATGTTTCTTCCAGAGTTCTAAATTTCATGAGTAGAGAATGATCCTCACTGCTGAACCTGGGCAAAGTCAGCATTCGCTGCATAGTGATTGGGGAAGGAGGCACAGAAGTGGCCCCATATTGGCTTTCTGCTCATGATGCCCCTTCACAGCAGCTGTATAGAAAGAGGGCTCTTGTCCTTCTGCCATTTCATATTCCCACTCCCATCCTCATTATGGTCCTGTCAATTACTAGTGTACACTTTTGTGATTCAGCAGCATCTCTCCATGTTCCCTTCATGAAGGCAGGTTGTTCTCCAGGATACTTGTGGGGGAGGGTTTTTTAAAAACATAAAGCCCACCTTCTTAAACTGCTAGTAGATCTGGGACAGGGAGCTCCCTTAAACACTACTGGACTCATTGATCTTTCAAAGCTTGTTGGGGGAGTCAGGGATGTACTGTACTTTCCAGGCACATTTTCAAAGGTTTGGGGCAGGGATAAACAGGAAGTGGTTGAAACAACAGATCTGATGGATGGACCACCTAGTCCCCACAATGGGAGTCAGGGTATCCACACTGAATCAGAAGGTTTGAGTTGGCAATTTAGGAGCAGTAACATATTAAATTGCATTGATTTTTTGCCATGCCGTATTATTTGAAAAGAAAAGTTTGTTTTTGCAATAAATCCTTCTTTTTAATCTTGACAGTATGCTTTTATAAACATACTAACAAAGCTATAAAAAACTCCATAAAATATCTTCCAAAAATTACGAACACATATTTTTTTTCCATTTGCTTTATTGTTTGTAATTGCACCTGTACAACAGAAAAAAATTGTATTCATTGTTATCAGTAAATCAATATAATCAAAAATCACAAAAAGTACAAATATTCTAACAATAAATGTTCTTCATAGTTGTTGTTGTTGCTTGCTGGTTGACAGCAAATATTTTTAAAATTTCTCTTGAAGGGTTCCCAGTTTGAAATGAACTCCTGCTTAGGCTTATCTTCAATCTTTTCAGAAAGGTTAGCTAGCTCAGCGTATTCTACAAGCTACAAAACCAATTCAGATCTAGTGGGGATTTTGTCGATTTTCTGCTGCGTGGCTATAAGTACCCTCGCGACAATGGTGGCATATAAAAAAACTTTTCTTACATTTCTAGGAATGTCTGGGCCTGTGATACCGAGTAGGAATGATTCTGGATTTTTAAGGAAGGTTACATTTAGCATTTTTTAAAGCTCAAGATAGATATAATTGCAAAAGGCTTTGATCTTTTTACATACCCACCACATATGAAACATAGGGCCGCCTGGTTCTCCGCATCTCCAGCACGTATTTGGGGTGCTTTTGTACATTTTGGAAAGCTTATAAGGGGTCAAGTACATTTTTTGGAAGTTCTCCCTTAAGGTAACATGCCGTAAATCTCCAATTTACTTTCTATAGATTTTCCCATTGACACATCTCTATATTGTGACCAAGGTCTTGGGCCCATTTAGCTGATTTAACCTCCTCCTCCTTAACTTCCCAGTCAAAGAGGAATTGGTATGTTTTGGAAAGAGTTTTGGTTTTTTAATTTATTAAGTCTGTTTCAAATCTTGAGATCTCTGTCACGAATCCTTTTTTCTTGTCAATTTTAAATGTTTCAAGTAGTTTATAATACTAAAACCAGTCAGATACCTGTTCTCTCACTTCTTCAAAACTCTTTAGTTTTAATTGATTCCCTTCTTCTTTTAATACTGCTTGGTATACAGGCTAATTTCCATTTGTATTTTTCCTTTTTACCACAAGTGCCTTGGTTGGTGAAATCCACGATGGCACTTTGGGTTTGAGGAGGTCTTTAAGGTATATAGAGATTTTCTAATGATTTGGTTCAAAAAGTTTTTGTGCACTTTGACTTTCCCATATCCCAGGTATGCATGCCAGCCGTACATGTTTTAATACCTTTCTAGGTCTGGGTTTTTAAGTGAACACCATTCATTTGACCAGGTGAGACAGGCCACTGCATAGTACAATCTTAGGTCCAGCAGGGAAAAGCCTCCTCTATTCTTGAAGTCAATTAGGATTTGATGTTTAATTCTAGGTCTTTTACCCTGCCAAATAAATTTAGAAATAAATCTTTGCCATGCCTTGAGGCGGTCTGTTCCACCTAGTATTGAAATTGATTGAAATAGGAAGAGTAGTTTAGGGAACACATTCATTTTTATTAACACATATATTCTGTTCCCCAGAAGCTTATAAAGGGTACTATTATATCTGTCTTTAAGCTTTTTAAAGACTACAGATATCAGAAAGAATTTGACTGTCTTTTCTTTCTACTTTGCCTTATGTATTTCTCCAAATAATATGAATTAATGTGATCTTTTTTATGCCTGTTGTCTTTGTCCATGGAGTTTTCTTGGCAGGGATACTGGAGTGGCTCGCCGGTTCCTGCTCCAGGTGGATCACGTTTAGTCAAAACTCTCCACTATGACCTGTCCATCTTGGGTGGCCCTGCACGGCATAGCTCATAGCTTCTCTGAGTTATTCAAGCCGCTTTGCCATGGCAAGGCACTGATCCATGAAGGGATATCACCTTGCCAACAAAGGTCCATATACTTAAAGCTATGCTTTTCCCAGTAGTGATGTATGGAAATGAGAGCTGGACCATAAAGAAGGTTGATCGCCAAAGAATTGATGCTTTTGAATTATGGTGTTGGAGGAGACTCTTGAGAGTCCCATGGACTGCAAGAAGATCAAACCTCTCCATTCTTAAGGAAATCAGCCCTGACTGCTCACTGGAAGGACAGATCGTGAAGCTGAGGCTCCAATACTTTGACCACCTCATGAGAAGAGAAGACTCCCTGGAAAAGACCCTGATGTTGGGAAAGATGGAGGGCACAAGGAGACATGGGGGTTATGGCATTTGTTTTTTCTTGTTATAATGCTTCTGCCCCAGTTTCTAATGTTCTCCATTACCTTTTGTGTTATGAAACTTTGGCTGTGTGATTGCTTCTATTCTCCCATCCCCATAACATAAAAATGCTAAGAAAGAGATGTGTGCGGTCAATATAAAAAAAATAGAGGAATATTTAAAAGGAGAAAGGGGTGCAGAAAATTCCGACAAATGAAAGAGATAGTTTAAATGAGAAGATTGAATTTGAGGAGATTAGAAATGCAATAAAAGATATGAAAACTGGAAAGACGCCGGGACCAGATGGACTGAGTGTAAGATATTACAAAGAATTAAGGGACATCCTACTTGTACCTTTGAAAGAAGTTATGAATAACATTCTAGCAAATAGAGAAATACCAGAGACATGGAAAGAAGCGTACATTACTTTAATTCCCAAGCAAGACTCTGATTTAAGTCAAGTTAAAAATTTCAGACCGATCTCGCTTTTGAACAATGATTATAAGTTATTTGCAAACATATTAGCAAACAGATTGAAGAAAGTTTTGAAGGAGTTAATACATAAAGACCAGGCGGGTTTCCCTCCCGGGCAGACAAATGAAGGATAACATTAGAAATATAATTAATGTGATGGAATATCTGAATGTTAAAAATGACAAACAGGCTATGTTAATATTTGTTGATGCTGAGAAGGCTTTTGACAATATCTCTTGGGAATTTATGTTTAAAAATTTTGAAATGATGGGAATAGGGCAAATGTTTTTAAATGGTATTAAGGCTATATACATGGACCAAAGAGCTAAATTGATAGTTAATAATGTGACGATGGAAAATATAAAGATAACCAAGGGCACAAGACAGGGATGTCCTTTATCACCATTGTTGTTCATCGCAGTCTTAGAAGTGCTTTTAAGGGCAATCAGGAGTAATGAGCAAATTAAAGGGGTAAAGGTGGGCAGAAAAGAATATAAGGTTAAAGCTTTCGCAGATGATTTGGTATTAACCTTGGAAGATCCTATGAATACAGTATCGGAAGTATTGAAAGAAATTGGTAAGTTTGGACAATTGGCAGGATTTATGTTGAATAAGAAAAAAACTAAAGCAATTACTAAAAATATTGATCAGGAGTTAGTTATTAGATTACAGCAGCAAACTGAGATAGAAGTGGTTAAGGAAGTAAAAAAATTAGAGGTTTGGTTAACCCCCAGGAGTATTGACTTGTTTCAGAACAATTATGTTCCAACATGGAATAAGATTAAAAGGGACCTTGAGGTATGGGGAAGAATG